GATGAAAATGCGTGATAAAAAATTTTGACTTCCTTCACTTTACATTTGAATTTGTCAGCACAGATCTAAAGAGGGCCATGTTTTTCAAAAGCATTAGAAAGCTTTATCAATTTTTGCAGGGGTGTATCATGAGGTAGAATAAAAGTTAAGTCACTATAACAAAGAAACCACCATACGTCATTTCTAAAATAAGATAAAAGTGTGTTTATCTCTCACAAAGTAGGTGAGCAAGTCTAGACTAGGGGGCAACTCTGCTCCATGAAGTCGCTTAAGGGCTAGGTTCCATCTTGTTCCCTCCTCTACTCCCTACAGTGATGTCTTCAATGCATAAGGAAAGTTGAGTCTACCATGTGCACTTTCCAGCTGGTGGGGAGGTGGAAAATGCCCAAAAAATCCAGGGAAAGTAGCTTGTCTGTAAGTTAGAGGTGACCCTCATATCCCTGGCTGCACACATCCCTTTTGCTTTAACTTAGATGGCCACCTCTAACTGCAAAGAAGGCTGGGAAATACCATCTCCAGCCCATATGGCCAGGAAGAAGGGGAGAGTGGATGAGGACAGGGGGTTACCAGTGGGGAAGGGAGCAAAAAGAAGTCTGCCACCGTGCATTTTAGTATTTTAAGTGTAAATCATCTTTGACACTGTTACTGTGTTATTTTACTTTATTTTTACTAGCTAACTAACTTCAAGATCCTTATTTGCCTGTGGCATTGAGTGTGATCAGAGTATTTCTCCAACATTACTCTCATTTTCAACTTCTTGAAAACTTTCATCTTCTAAATATTTGATATTGTTGACTGTTTGATTCCTTCCTTCAGTCAGAGAGAATGACCAGCAAAGAAGCAGAACGTAGTAATGTGGAAGGAATATTTAATTGGGACCTATGTAGGCAGTTGGTTAATGAGCAATTTTTATGTTATGACATCTTTTGTTTCTGTCTAGAATCACTTAACTATGAATCTCCTGTATAGTTAATATATTTGTTGATGCTTTGAGATATTGTAAGCAGATAGGGTCGGGGTCCCTGGAGGAGAACTAGACATAACTTTCTTAACCAAGGAGAAGCCATTTTAGGCCTAAACCATTTTGTGATCTCAGCCTGCTGTTGCAGAATAGGTCTCAGTAGTTAATAATTTTAAGGGAGTGAAAGAAGATAAAAACAGCTATTACCAGGCCAGGGAGATAACTTAGCCATATTATCAGTTGTAAAGACTCCCAGTTATGTTTCCGATGTAAAGATGAGCCTGAAGCACATTTTTGAGCTGTTCTGCAGAGTTCAACCCCCGCCTTGAGCACTCAGCCACCAGATCAGCTGGAATGATAATGTTGACCTTTGCTGACCCTCCTGACTTCAATCAACTAGGTCCCAGACTCTGTCAACTTTTGCCTCAATGCTATGCTGAATTCTTGCTCCAGCCCCAAATTGCTGCTTAGGGGAAATACTGCTGTGGGAAATATCCCCGGTGTTCTCCTTACTTGCTGCAAGTAATAAATCCTTCCTTCTCCTGTGCTTTGGTTTGGTTGTGTCTTTTTGGCTCAACAGCCACCATGAGGCGAACCCAGTTTTTAGGTGACAGTATTGCACGTGGTTTCTTTTCTCAAAACTTTTTTCTCCATCCGTTGTTATTTTTCTCCCCCCCTCCCCTTTCCCTTTTTAGCAGTCAGGAGGCTCTCCAACCCAATCACAGCCAAAGATCACAGTGGGGACCTTCAGCGTGAAACCCAAGCCTATCTTAAAGAGTACGTGTTAAATCAGTCATTGTACCTGTATTATATGGACAGTAAGAAACAACTATTCTCAGTGCAGCACTGCCGAGTCTGCTTCCAGGTTGACGTGCCCCGCCCAGTCCAGCACCGCAGTCACCCACCATGTGTCAGTGGGCTGGGTGGGGACTGCATTCCTGGGAGAGATGAGATAAGTCAGCTAGCCTCTGTAACTTTTGCCTTTTGACTTTTGAGTCTTCTCTTATCTAGGTTCAGTAGGTCAGCAGATGAGTTGGGGGTTTGAGGATTCTCTTTTTTAAGTAGACCCACAAACAGTTCTTTTGCTTTAAGTCCTTCGCCACTTTTAGACATACCATTGGTTGTTTCCAGGCTTCTCCCCAGCATGTTTATTTCCTTCCAGTTTCTAAAATTTTCTTATCTCCTGTCCTGTTTTCTGTTTCTTTGATAGTTAATTCCTTTGTGACAACAACAGCAGAACTGATTTAATGGGGTTTCAGGAGGGAGCCTAGGCTAAAGTGTACCCTCAGCCCTCCGTCTTTAACTGGAAATCTCCATGAGGAGAATTTTCCTTCATTTATGTGACCTTTAATAGTGTTCTTTGACCAATGGGTTATTAAAACAACAACGAACTTTTAATTGTATGGTACAGAATGCTGGAGGGGGCCCTTCTCCTGGGACCAGGAGACTTCTAGTCTGGGTTTGTGTGTCTTTGAGCAACTCATTAAACTTTCTAAACCTCAGCTCCTTAATTTGTAAGGGGATGGTCACAGATTTAAGTGATGGCTAAGATTCCTTTTGACTCAAACGGTATGATTCTATATAAGACTATTAATCTCTTATACAAAAACGGTAAGGTTTTTTTTTCTTCCCTACACATTCTACATGAAGTACTTCCCCCGTCCTGATGTTGAAACCTTCTGCTTCTAGTCCTGCGGATGAGCCATGCCCCACTTATCTTCCTGGGCTGTCCAATGTCTGCCCTTTGTTTGATAGCTGTGGTATTGCCTGTTGGGCTGGGAGTTCCATATTTGCACGTGGCCTGTTCTTCTGGAGTGTAGCTTGCTTTTCCCTTATACACCACTCTTGAAAGTTGTCATCTTTACCCTACATTGAAAATATGTTGCACAAAGTTGAGAAGAAGATTTCCAAATAAGTCATATTTACACATCCACAGTTTTTCAGGAACAAAAAGATAGAGTGTCAAAATTTTGATTTAAAATAAAGATGACCAACATAGATGCCAAGCAACAAGAGCTTTTCTCTGATTTCTCCGCTTAGGAGAATAGATCAGTTGGGTCTGTTATCCAGCTGCTTATTGAGAGGCTGCTCTAAACACCAAGTGTGGTATAAAGAGAAAGTGTAAGCGCCCAATCTCTTCACTTAAGATTGGGGCTCTCAAATCTACCAGCACATTAAATCCTGATGCCCTGGGACTCACCCCAGACTAATTCAAAGTATCTGGGCGTGGGTTTTGGGCATCTACATTCTAAAAAAATTCTCCCTACGTGATTCTAATGTTAAGGTTGAAAATGATTCCTTTAGGAGCTTAAAATCTAGGTGAGAAGTTAGAATATGTACATCAGTTGCTACAGATCATGGAAGATGATGGTGAGCTCTGTGACGGTGATTCAGAAATCACGGGCACAGGAACTGGATGGTTTTTAATTAATTGGAACCATCCAGAAAGGCTTCATCAGAGAGGTGACTTTTGAGCTAGCAGAGTTTTCACAGGTGGAGAGAGGGGATTTTCTAGGACAGGGAATGGATGCTGACTATTTTGACTAGGGTGTGGAGTGTCTGGGGAGCAGTGGAAGTGAAGATTGGATGTTAGGTTACAGCCAGATTGTGGACATTCTCCAGTGTTTTGTCTAAGGAGTTTTGACTTCATCCTGCATGTGGTGAGAAGGCCTTGGGGAGGCACTGAGGATTTCTAGTGAATGCAGTGGCAGGATAAAAATGGTATCTTTGAAGGTTGATCCAATGGGAATAAGGGGTATGTAGTTTGAATAAAGTGAGGCAGGAGCCAGGGGTGAAAGGAAGACCAGTTGGAAAGCTACTGTTATGACCCAGATTATGATGCTTTGAGCTAGGAAGAGAGCATTGCAATTAGGAAATAACAGCAATAAACATTTGTATAGTGTTTTCATTGTAAGTGAGTTCTCTCCCACATCTCATTAAACCTCACTAATAACCTTGCGGTATTTACTTCCATATTTTGTGAATGAAGAAAACTGAAGTTCAGAGGTTAAGCTGTTGTAAAGTAACTTTGCAGAAATTGGAGGGCCTGACTGGTTGACGACAGATCGGTAACAGGGAATTGTAGGGGTGCTTCTGGGGTGTCATGGCGGGTGTGAAGTTGGTGGAATTCCTCACTGGCAAACTGAGGGTCAAGTTCCTGGCTCTGCTCTCTGATAACCGCTTATGCTCTTCGCATGACTCCTGTTGCCTCTCTGGTTTGATATGCAGTGACTTCTTGTAAGGGTGTGGTGGAGCGAAGGGAAGAAAGGGCTGTTGTCCATTCAACGTGTCTCAAGTAAGAATCTTTGGACCATTGCTGAGTATCTCTGATTTTCAGAGAGTTAAATGTCGTTGAATTTAGACGGCTTATTAGTGTAGGTGTGGATAGTCTGGTTGTGGGGGCTCCAGATATAGGGCTGAGGAACTTATGCAGATGAGCTCTGCCCTTAGTAGGCAGGGAGGTACGGGGTTAGCTGAGGGGCTGCTGTGTGAGGTGGGTTTCCTAGATGAGCTGAGGAGGGTTAGCTGTGGCTGGGTGGGCTTCCTTTTCTCTTGTGGTTGAGACGGGCTGCAGGGAAGAGAACTGTAGTGTAGAAATCAAAGAACATCCTCGTGGCTCTGGTGACTAGGATGCTTGATCTTTATATCTTTTTTTTAGGTTCTACGTGTAAGTGATATTACAGGAGTTTGAGATTAACAGATACAAACTGCTATACATAAAATAAACAACAAGGTCCTACTATATAGCCCAGGGAATTATATTCTTGTAATAACCTATAATGAAAAACCTATAATAACCTATAATGAAAAAAATATATATATGTATAACTGAGTCACGGTGTTGTACACCAGAAACTAACACAACGTTGTAAATCAACTATACTTCAATAAGAAAAAAAAAAGATTACGTCCTTATTAGAGCTGGAGATTGAATTCTGTCCACCACTGTGGTAATTCATTTTGTACTATGTACTCATCCAGGAACCTGAGGCAATTTAAATATCAGCCTAAACCAGCCGTGCAGGTGATGCACTTTTCCATCTGAGATAATTGTTTCCCTGCAATCAAGTGCAGAAGAGTGTGCCACCAAGCTAAGGGATGGTCGGGAGGTACAGAGGAGTGAGTCATCATCACGGCAAACCTTCATTAGATTCTTGTGAAATGCTGGGAGTTGGAGGAACAGGATGGGGCTGAGGGAGAAGAAGAGGCTGAACTCTTGTGCCCTGGGCATTTTCAGTCCGGGTGCATAGAGTAACCTAACAGTCATCAGCTCCACCTATGCTCAGAGTAAAGTCTATTTTGGTAATTTGGAATGACAGTATCCTTGGATAATTTACATGTCACATTTTATTACAACTGTTTATTTTCTCACTTTAGAACACTGGGATCTTCAATGGCAGGAGAAACAGCGATCAGAAGACCGAGATGAATTGTAACACTATTCTAGAAGAGATTCTTATTAAAAGGTCACAGCAGAAAAAGAAGACATCACCCTTAAACTACAAAGAGAGACTTTTTGTGCTGACAAAGTCCATGTTAACCTACTATGAGGGTCGAGCAGAGGTAGGAGACAAAGTTTACTTTGCTGCTTTCTATATTGATAGTATTTTATAATACTGTTGTTCCCCACACCCCTAAATGTTATGGAATAAGCTTTATGTTAATAAAGCTAAGGTAATGATTTGTTATCATTTGGATTTGAAAGATGAAGTTTAGGATATGAATAGAAATTATTCACAAGTCTTGAGTTATGGGTTTAGTATACATAAGTGTACATTTTATATCAGCCTACTGAATTAACTTGTTGGAGAAAACAAATTCCTACATCAGTTTTGGATCATTGTGAAATTCATTAAGTATACTACGTACCTGGCTCTTTCCTGTAAACTACCATATTATGCATCAGAGTCTTCTTTAGCACATATAAACTGCATCTGTGTCCATCACTTTATATTAGTATTTCTTCATTACTAAGTGAAAGTTACTTAAAACTGGTTAGTGATTTGGTGGACCCAACCCATTACTGAAGTTCACCAACAGCAGAACTATTCAGTGTTTTTGTGATGAGCAGCTACTGCAAAGTTCCTTTCACGGAAGCAGGGAGAAGTGGCTCACTAAGGACCTGGTCAGTGAGCATGTGGCTTGGCGTGGGGGGCACGTTGTCAGCCAGCTCCAGGCTTTGCTGTTGTTGTAGTCTCTGGTTTACCACTAGATGAGGTACATGCACGAATATATAGTGGTGCCTGGCCCACCTTTTCCTCCTGACATCTTGTGAATGTGTCATCTAGGACTACGGGTCTAGCCATGTGCCTCCCTTTTAAAAATATTCCTGGGTTCCAGGAAATGGCTGGAGAGACTGGGTTCCCTTGTTGACCACATACCAGTGTCTAGCTGGTTACAGTGGATTGTTGGCGATCTTGATGTTTGCTTTTATTTTATTTAATTCTACTTTTTTCCTAGAGCAGAATCCTCAGAAATGGATTTACTTGTTATTATTTTGTTTCTGTTTTGTTTCGTTTCCACTAATTTCTCCCTGTTTTGGTTCCCCCGATTCAGACAGAATGGCATTGCTTCTCCCTGGTGGTCCTCAACTCTGTTAGTTTCTGCTGTGGCTTGTCGTTGTGACCAGTGGAATTCTGTAGGTTCATGTGATTTATGACTATCGCCCTTTACCTACCTTCCTGAATCCCCAAGTGCTGAAGACCCAAACTTCAAAAACTCTTTCAGTTGCAAAACCTGACCTTAGATGAAGCTATTTTTAGTCTTTATTTATCCTACTCAATGTGAATTTTTTGCATATATGTGTATACAGAAATATTAATGTGTTTAATTATTTAGGGGTGTCCCAGTTCCTGCTGGGAGTGTTATGTAATATATGGTATATATGCTATATTACATTTATTAAATCTGAGAAATTCAGGATTCCAAAAGAGTTTCAGATAAGACTAGAAATATGAATTATTTTAAAATCTGAAATATGGTTAAGGGGAAACATTAATAAATTTTGCTTTATAATAAAGATTTGTTATAATTTGAACTTAAAAGAATACAAATACAGCAGTGAACATGGTAAAGCGTGGTCCTTTACTAACTGAAAAAGCCTCAGAAACCTACATTATTTGCTTAGAAATGTGGACTGATACTATTGGAAGACATTGCAATTGTTAAGTCACTTTGAAGATGATAAATGATGATATAAAGATGATACAAGTTTAAAAGTGCCCTAATTACTTTAGCTTAAGTAGAATAAAGAGAACAGTGGGCCCCCTCTTATATCAGAACCTGGCCCACTGTCTTGCCTGGCAGTAGCCTCAAGCCACTAGGAAAACCAGAAAGGGCAGAATGAGGAGGTTGTCATAACATGTAAAAACCCAGCCTCTGACACAGCATTGATTTACTGTATAGCACAAGGAATTATAGCCAATATCTTGTTATAACCAATCTTGGAATATAATCTGCAAAAAATCCTAATCACTATGCTGTACACCTGAAACTAAAATAATATTTTTCAGTCAACTATACTTCAATTAAAACAACCCAAAAGAATCCATCTCCTTTCTGGCTACTGATGACTGGCCCAGGGAGCCTAGTCCTGTTAGCTGGTCCTGCCTTAACCCCCACTCCTCCCATCAGGTGGCCATGTTGATCCCTCCTGGATGCTGTTCTCAGGCACTGAAGTTCATTGGCATACCTGTGGCCTTCAGTTGGGAATATGGTTGCAAATTTGTTTACCTCCTACAGTTAAAATTAAGTAGTTACCTTTACAAAAAAAGTTAGGAATCTTAAGAATCTGAAGTCTTGAGAAAATCAAGTTCTGACAATACGGGGCTGAGTTCCTTCATGACAACTCTCAGCCTGTTTTCTAGGTAAGCCCAGTAGCACTTTGCAGTTGTGTTTCTTCCCTCCTGGGGTTGACGTGCTCAGTTCTTTGATTTCCATGGGTGAATGTTCTTATTTCCATCTCCCTCTCCCTAGAAGCCATGATCCAAAAAACACTGTGATGTGGGTAACCCATGAGAATCAACAGGTATTCTAAAAATAATACTGTGTTAAAAATATAAGACTCTAGGTGGATCAGAAAAACCATGGGGACCATTCTGGGGTAGCCCCAGAGATACTTTACTTGTTCATAGGCTACAGATGGATCTTGTAGCTCTGATTTCAAGTTTCTTTGAAGCAATTAGGTGACACTAGTCCTTTATTACAACTCTCAGTTGATCACAGTGTGAGTCAGGCATCGGTTTTCTCCTGGTTGTTTGGACCCCAGTTCCTTCAATATGATGGTAACAAGCTTTTATTGAAAATTTTCCTGTTAAGTAAGTTCATTGTACTTTTTGAAGTCTGCTGAGAATTCTGTTCCAGATGATGAGAAATGTAGTCAAGCTGTTTCTTCCAAGTCAGTTGTTGGAAAACTTGTTTCAGTGGCCGCTGTGGGCCATTCTTTGGCTTGTCCTCCTTGCTCTTTCTCACTTAGCTCATGTTTCTGCATCTTCTAGTGAACTGATGGAAGATCTTCCTAGCAATTCATGTTATTTACTCTCACTTATCATAACACAAAACAAAGGAAACTGTGGTCTTGCTTTCTGGTCCAGGAACTAAATGACACATGGGTTAGATCACTTGACATCCTGCTGGAGCCTCTACGTGGTTTTGAGATGGAATCCAGGGAAGAGCAAGGCTGGAGTTTAGTCAGAAAAAAGACCCATTAAATAACAATGAGAAAATGAGGAGTAGAGAGATTTCTATATGTTGAAATGTTGAATACAAAGAACTTCAAGTAGTAGGTAGATCTGCAGCTATCGTTAGCCAAGAAATCAGGAAGTTTTTATAGCTGGACTTTGGTATTACCACTGTGGTTGGTTTGTTGAGTGTAACAGTCCTCTGGTATGGAAACTGGCAAATGGTTTCTACAGTTGAGGGGTAGGGAGACTAGTTGTGTCAGGGATCCCCAAGGCCACCCCCAGGGTCGATGATTCACTAGGAGAACTCATGGGGCTCAGCATGTAGTTGAACTCAACAGGTATGATTTATTTCAGTGAAAGGAGACAAAGCAAAATTAGCAAGAGAAAAGGTGCATGAGGCAAGTCTGGAGGAAACCAGCCACAAGCTTGCAAGAGACCCTTTTCACTGGAGTCACAAAGAGGATGTATAATTCTTCTACCACCAAATTGTGATGGTTGTGAAATGTTTTCTAACTGGGAGCCTCATTAGAGACTCAGTGCCCAAGGGTTCTGTTGGAGGCTGGTCATATAGTCACCTTCTGTCTAGGCATGTACCCAAATTCCAGACTCCAGAAGGAAAGCAGGCGTTCAGCTTAAATCATAGTGTTTGTACAGTTTATGCACAATGAGCTATTCTTATCAGTACTGGGGATGGTAGGATCCTCTGCCTCTCAGATTCCAAGTTTCCAGATGCCAGGCAAGGGCCAACCTTTTTCAGTCTCAGAGGCCTGTTATGTTAACTCTTTTCTGCACATTAATAGTAACTATGATACAGTTTATTGAGTACAAAATACAGGCGAGGCACTGTGCTAAGTACATGCATTATTTTCTTTATTCCTCAAAATGCTGTATAAGTCTTATTAGTTCCCTCCATTTAAAAAATGAGTGACGTGAGGCTCAGGAAGTTAAAAAACCTGCACAAGGTCCGATACTAATGAATTGCAGGGCTATTCTTTCAAAGCCCACCTTTGAAACAACCTTGATATTCCAGGGAAAATTAGAAAAAAAAATCTATTGAATCTCTCTGTAACACAGGTAAAGTTTTATTTTAAAACTTTGAAGATATTTTTATTTGTTACTTTCAGTTATGTTTTTTAAAAACATTTTTTAATTGAATTATAGTCATTTTACAATGTTGTGTCAAATTCCAATTTAGAGCACAATAATTTCAGTTATACATGAACATATGTACATTCATTGTCACATTCTCTTTCACTGTGAGCCACCACAGGATCCTGTATATATTTCCCTGTGCTACACAGTACAATCTTGTTTATCTATTCTACATTTTGAAACCCCAGTCTGTCCCTTCCCACCCCCCCGACCTCCTGGCAACCACAAGTTTGTATTCTATGTCTATGAGT